GGCAAAGATAAAAATCTCTGTCCCAAGAGGGGTAAGGAGGTGAAAAGGAAGGAGTGGTTGCCTTTAGTATTGTTGCGAGAAATGACCTGAGGCAGGTGCAGGCCAGAGCATGGAAATTACAGAGTTAAAGCTACATGTGCCATTTACAGAGGGCATGAGAAACTCAGTTTGTGTAGAAGCTGGTTTCTGTGTTAAAGTGCCATATGTTTGCTGTTGATCGACTTTCCTCTCTCTTTTTGTTAGTATTCCTCTTGTAAAAAATCAACTTTGATTTTTACTAATGGCCTTTTGAAACCAAATCCAAACTTATTTTGATAAAGACAGAAAAACACAAAGAAGCAGTGTTCATTTTACCGGTCAAATCAAACTTTTAAAATGAGTGCATATGTCAGATCTCACCAATATCTACACCTGCAGAAATTACCTGGTATTTTTGGTCATATAATATTATTGTGACTCTTTTAAGTTATGCACTGCAAAAAATTTTTAATCTAAATAAGTCATTTTTTTCTGATAATAATCATTTTCTTGAATTGAGGAGGGAAGTGAGACACTGCCAAACGCACAAATGAAATTGAAAATAAGCAAAAACAATTGCATTGTCTTATTTAAAGTGCATATTATCTAATTATTTTATTCTAAGAGTAAAAATATTAATTCCATTGGTGAACTATCTCATTTACCGACTCAAATTAAGGGTTAATACACCTAATTTAAGAACTTGTTTTTACTTATTTCTTGACTGTTTTTCCAGTGTGTCAAATGAAAAAATGGAACCTATAAAATCACTTCTAAAGATTGTTAAAGGAAGATGGTATAGTAGGGTAAAGGCTTACGAGTTTTCAGAGGGAGCAAGTATGAAGGAGCCAATTGAGACACATAGACATAGTGTTTAAAACTAGTTTAGTTCCCTTAGAATATAATTAAAATGTCTATAAAAAAAAAATCCAAAAGGAAAATCCACAACACATCGACCATCGACTCTCAAGCTCAATCCATAGGACCCAAAGGGATTCTATGGCTGGACTGGATGTTTAGTCTCTCCCCTGGATTTTATATCCGGCTTACTATTTTCTCCTTGTTAGAAGTGCCCAGAAACACCAAAGTAGAGCCACCTAAGGGCCATTCTAATCAGAATAGATGCCTGAGCTCTTCAGCTTTTCGGTGGATAAAACAGGTTGTTCTGCCATCAAGATTATCCATGCCCCCAGTACTTTGTCTAAGGGTAACCCTGACTTACACAATCTACAGTCATAGAAATAATTATATTAAAAAACTGGAACCACAATAAATTAATGCTAGAAGCGGACTGAAACTTCTCTTGCAAATGTAGTGGAGGATGTTAGGGCAGGTTCGCAATTGTTCCTTAAATTGCAGGTTCGCAATTGTTCCTTAAATCAAATTAATCAATGAATGAATTATCTAAAAATGTTTGTCTCACCTTTCTATGGATGTCAATAATTGTGGCGATAGATGGATAATTAGATGTGAAGGAGAGGAACAAATATCAAGTTAAAACTTAAATTAGAAATTTTAGAGCAAGCAACTTCAAGGAAATGGTTTCGGAAGAACATACACTGCTCTACAAAGAAGTACGGGACTTTGCCGCACATCACTACCATTTACAGATCTAACATTAGATTAGATGACTAATTACCAATCAAGTTGTATTTTCGATAAACAAGAATGCATTTAGCATTTCCTTCTAAAGTTTCTTTGTTACTTGTTCATTCCTCCTTTGATCTATTCAACATACCGCCATTCTAAGAATGCAACTTCAGATGTACAAATAAAACTTGCTTCCAACTAATCAGGTAGGAATACATACCCACCATTGAAGGCATCCGCCCTCATATGACCAAAGAAACTCTTCAGGGCCTCTGCCTTTAACTGAAACAGTCCATGCTGTCATATGTGAGTTACCTGCACGGGCCCTTAAAGTAATAAATGGAGTAGGGATAAGGCTCAGATAAAGAGGTATTAGAGAGGAAGAGGAGGAGGAGGGGAAGAAGAGAAGTGTTGAATAGAAGGTGATGAATGAAATGGCTCAAGGCGAATAGAGACAACCAAACAGTGAGGGAGAAGTGGATTTTAAATTACATGGTCGCTCTTGTCAGCAGGCATAATTAGTAGTTTGGTCAGGTGTGGTGAATGGGACAGGAAGCCTGAAAGGAAGGACAAAACGGTGTGAAAACAAAGACGTGTGTGTGCGAGGAATACAATCCTGTGATATGAATGTTTCTACAGGGGGAGAAAGTAAATGAGAATAATGCACACGGTGAGGGCACTCATGAAAGGAAAAAAGGAAACAGACAGTCAGTTTGTTACAGTATGTCGCGTGTCAAGCGCGTGGATGACAGGTTGGAGAACTTCAGATGATTCGTCAGGTGGCTGGCTGCCAACCAGAGCTGGGCGGGAAGAAGCTATAGTTGAAAGTCAGATTACAGATAACCAGGAAGTACAGATCAAAACATACAGAGTTCCTGGTCAGCAGGGAACTATCACTACTTGCCCTGCATAAGTGAGAATCTACATTAATACATTGTTGGTCCATCCGTTCCAACTAAAGCAGCTCTCAACTGCTCTCATTAAGCTGTCTGTGAGTTTTAGAATCGTCTTTGAATTGTAGGAATCTTTGACCATTTCTCCAGAAGATTACTTGTGAAATCTGAAACTTGAATCAGGATTAATTGCTTTGAATATCTGTTCATGTTTATGCACAAAAAGTTTTTTTTTTTTTTTTTAAAGAACTAAGGGTTCACATAACCAACATCTAAAAAATAGCTCCACACCATAATCCAATGTGCACCGAACTTTACATTTTGCACAGTGGGGAAAAGACAAAGAAACAAAGAAGCTTGAATTATTACTTTAATGAACACATCTTCTTTGATTTTACACCCAGTGTTTGACTTAGTGATTGAAGTCTTGCATGTATCTCACCACATAAGGTCATTCTGATTTGCTTGCTAGACTTAGAAAGTATATGCCACTTATAACTGGGATTTGAATCCTTGTTTCCTGCATCACAATCAAAGTGAGTCTTGTGATAGACAGCTGGTGACAAATGCCCTAAAATCTACATTTAAGGGTGACTATAGCATGAGGTGTAGGCCTTTGACCTGAAACTGTAACCTCAGCTATGTCAGTTGCCTAGAGATACCTTTCAGACGTGTGACATCATGACGAATTCTATTTTAAGACCACTATTTTGAGTACCGAACACTTAGCGCTGAGGTGCTTCCCCTCTGACCAGGACAAATCATTCTCATTTAAATTCATGTGAGCTTTTAGGACATTGTTATTGGATCAGATCCATATGAAGTCCCTACAGATTTTTCCTTTCCCGACTGATATGAATATCTTATACACCCCGTCATCACACACTGGTGAAAGTCTGAAAGCTTTTAAAGGTACATATGCCAATCAGTATTTCACAGCTGGCTGGGTTAACCCAAAAATATGGCATCTGAAAAACAAGAAGATATTTATTCGTATGTAAAGCTAAGGTAAGTCGCGTTCTGCTGATCTTTAAGCATACTCTAATTAAACAGCTAAACACAGCTATAATGTCTGTAGCAAAATCTTTCGATACAAATATCAAATGTACTTCTTTCACCAAAGAGTCTAATCAGTGTAATCTATCCATCCATCCATTTTATCCCACTTAGTCAGGGTTGCGGCCTATCTCCGGCAGTGTACGGGCGAGAGGAGGGGTACACCCTGGACAGATCAACAGTCTGTTGCAGGGCAACACAGAGACACACAATGACACACAGCCATGCACACACGCACCCACACCTAAGGACCATTTAGAGAAGCCAATTAAGATAACAGTCATGTTTTTGGACTGTGGGAGGAAGCTGGAGTACCCTAAGAGAACCCATGCATGCACAGAGAGAACAGGCAAACTCCATGCAGAAAGACCTGGGGCCAGGAATGAAACAGAGAACCTTCTTCCTGCAAGGCAACAGTGCTACTGCCTGTGCCGATATGCAGCCTGTGGGTATTTTTTGGAAGAACATTTTTTCAAGACAAATCCAGTTTGCAACAGCCTAGGCCAACTCTCCTGAATTGTTTTGAAACTCAATGGCAAAACATACGGATGGCATCTTTGACCCACAGGTTACCAGAGCAGATACTCAAAAGGGCCACGGCTAGATTCAAACGTTTGTGACGTTGGTCAGAGGGTCCAGGTCCTTTATGAACAACTTACTTCTGTCAGTATGCCACAGTGCAGCTGTGGCTGAAATGTAGCCTGTCAACATAACTGTGCCAACGGGGGAATGACTAAATGTAAATGTATTGTAAAGCATTTTGGAGTCCCCTGACTTGAAAAGGTGCTACAGTATATAAGTACAGTCAATGTAGATTTGTTTTGTTGGATCAAACATATACATATATATATATTTTTTAAATAACAAATTTTTTTTTTTTAACTATCAGAATTTCTAATTGGAGATAAAAAAAAAACATCAGTGGTTTATCAAACACACATACTATTGAAAATAATGAATAAACCAATTAAAACTGAAAAACAGCTGAAAAAGGATTTCTGATAACCTGTTAATCTACATCACTTCTAAAAGAGCAAAAAGAATAATAAAAAAAAAAAGTGAAGAGTTTTTTACATCAACAAATACAGCCTGCAAAGCAATATCTCCCAGAAACACATCATTGCTTGTAGTTTTAAAATCTCAACAGGCCTTTATTTAACCCAAAAACAGAGAGGGCAATTTTCAGAAAATGAAGATGCATCTGTGTGATCCGGACATAACCGTGTGACAGCCAGCAAATCCCCCTTAGAGAAAACCTCATGCCTCAGGACAACACAATGACACACACAAACACAGACACACACGCAACCATTCCAAGGAGGAGTCATCATGGGGTAAAAAAAAAAAAAAGGGGGAGGAGAGGTAAGAAAAGGGAGTGTATTTCTCTGGTACACTTTCAGAAGCACACCTTTAACTCCTTTAGACTCTAGTGCTACGCTGTGAAGTCAGTCACGCTTCAGCCAGTCAGCAGCGTCAGGTACGTTGTGGTTGTGTGAGAGACCTGAGAGAGGAGAGGCGGAGAAGAGAAACTCAACCTCAAGGAAGGAGAACAGACAGCCTGCCATATGTGTGGCTCCTCTCAAGGCTTTAAGGTAAATCTGCAGCATTCATAAAATAAGGGATATATATATGAAATAATGTCTACTAGTTTACTTTCTATTTTAGACATTTTCTGTAACTGATAGAGGTATCTCCGTCTCTCAGTAAGGTGTTTGACAGAGTTTAATTGTGCTTTCTAGACTCAAACTGATACCGGCTGATAAAGCTCTTGACTCATATCTTGATTTTCAGAATATATTTTCTGCTGTGTCACTAGGTTGAATGGTTTCAAAGTGAGTTGTCACACTAGTGACAGTCATTCCGAGTCAGCTGTGGTGACATACTTCAGAGAAAAAAAGGCTGAAATGTCCGCCATAAATCTCATCTCTCTGCACTTTTTTTTTGCATCATTCATTTTTTTTTCTTCTCACCGACAGTAAATGTGTATTTTAGATTTTCGGGCTCCATGTTAAGCATTAAGTCTTCCATAAAGTTTAGGCTGTGCATTAAATTTAGTCTCTTATCAGGGGAGAACATGTGTCATACGACTGCTTACCAATATTACTGCTTATCAATCACTATCTGGGCAGCCAAGAGAGGAGGGTAATAAGCAAAAGCTGTGTGCTTTTATTTTTAATCATAAATCTTTCATCATTTTTTTTACACTTTATGTCATCCTGTCACAAAGGGTGTGTTCTTTAGTGTGGGCTGAGCCAGTTGATCACATCTTGTTCAAAAGAAAGATGCAATCAAATAGAAAGAGAAAGACAAGATATCAGGACTGGCCAAGTTAGTTCAGAGGAAGTCGTGTTGATTCACTGGGAGTGCTTGTTTCCTTGTGAAAGTGGTCTTGCTTCGGGGCTGACGTGCTAAAGAAACCTGAATTGTAGCCTTGGGGTGGTGATTCAGAGTCACAGGACGTATGGGACAGTGGGGCCGGCGGGGCTCATTCAACTTTGAAGTTTGTTTGTCCGGTAGTAGCAGATAGGAAAGTAAATCTCGGAACTGCAACTGCCTCGTCTATGGTATATCTCATTTTACACTTCTGAAACTGCTTTAAGGTCAGTTCAAAACTTGACTTTTTATCTTACAGCTGTTATTTTTCTCTTAAATACTTAAATAAAAAGACGATGATTTATTCTTTCCTTAAAGGTTTAAATGTGAGTGTTGATGCCAGTTGGACTTGTTGCCAAGGCAACCCATTTTTGTTTTCAAATAGAACCTGCAGCATTTGTGGTAGCTGAAAAATGTCTCTGTCATCTCCGCTATCCAACAGCCAGCATGTTTTTGATCTGGTCTGATAACCATTCACCAAGACATTTTTGCCCTTTCTTCTTCTCTAGGCCTCCTCTTCTGAATGCACCACAGACATGTTAGCCTCAGAGAGGTCACCGCAGAGCATAGGAGCCACCACTGTAGCTTTGACAGATACACAGGAAGATATGAGATTATGGAGCGAGTCTGATTTTGAGGAGAAGTGCACTTACATTGTGAATGACCAGCTTATTGATGAAGAGTCCAAAAGCCATGGCAAGACAAGAGCTGAGAGATCCTTACCCAGAAACCTCACCTTGAAACGCAGCCACAACTCTAGAGAGGTAAGATTTTCCTCCAAATTTCACACCATAATTTGAATTATACTGTAAAAATTCTCAAATCCGAAAACATCTGTGCAAAAAAGCAGAAGTTGTTTTTGTTTTTATAGACCTTATTTGCGTCACTCCAACTTCCTTCCGTCCACTCATCCATCCTCAGGCGGGATGTACTTGACATGTTGTTGTCTAATTTGAGCCTTTCCTCTCTCCTGCCTGTGTGCCGAGGCAAAAAGAGAGACAATAGCCAAGCCCCTAGGCACTCAGACAGAGGACACTCTGATTAGTAGCTAACAGATTCTGATCCCTTTGTTCCAGCGGAAAATTAGACCTTAAAGTAAAGCTGACTCATGGAGACCCATGTGATATACGCTACTTTAAATAATCCTTTGAATTGACAAAAGTTTGTGTCTAGGTTGGTCAATAAAAGTCAGGCAAATCAAAAGTTGTGTGGCTTGACCTAGTTGAGAGATTTTATCAAATGCAGTCAGAAGAAATAGACTTTGTCTGTGGTTAAATATCTGCCTCACTCTTTTGACCCTTTGACAAATATTGTCTGAATATTTTAGCATAGAAAACCAATTATCTACATCACAAGCATACCATGATAATTAATTAATGACAAAACTATATAGATCATCCAGATATTTATTTCATCCAGCAACATACACAATATGATTGCCACTTAATATGTATTAAGGAATTCATGACCATGGCTTTTATGCTTTAGCTTTAACAAAATGTTACCTGGTGACGTTCACCAGTCCGGGTGTGACCATGACACCTTATCCTTCCGTCTGTAGCCTGAAGGCTTGAGACAGAGGAGTGAGTTTCACACCTAGAGGTCAGAGAACAACATCAGTGGTAAAAATTTAATGTGATGGAGAAACTAAAGAAAACTCAGTTGTCCGGCTTGTTAAATATTCATTATATTTGGGGGGAATAAAAACAAAACTGTGCCACATTATTTTCCACAGTGGAAAGTTTGTCACCAGATTATTTTTTAATTTGCAAAAATGAGACTTGGAGAGTCTTGTGAAAATAAGACTTATTTATTTTTTGCTATTTCACCACATGTTTCAGATATTTATTGCAGAGAAAAAGACCATAAACAAATTTGATTCAAAAAAGTTTTTAAATTATAATTTAAAATAATTATAGACAAATGCTATTTAAAACAACTGAACACTATTTGAAAAGGTATTATCCCCTTATAGATGCAGTATCCTTATTTTTTAAAAGGCAGTTATTGGTACAGAAGATGTAACTGGATGTACACAAAATAATTTGACTCATTTCTAGTCAAGCCACATGATATTTTACAGCAATCTTAGGGACTGGATGCTTCCTGGCAAAAAGTCTGACAGCATTTTCTGTCTTCTTTGGTCAGTTGTGGTTTTGGTCTACAGACTCTCTCTTTGAATCATATTTCCCTGGTTTCTTTCTTATGATTGAATCATAAACTCTAAACTGAAAGCAAGCAAGAAATTGAGAACCAAAGAGCTTTAGTAACAATTTGGGTTCTTTGTGACTTCTTGATTTTTTTGATGCGCTCTCTGAGAAACTTTGATAATCTGGCAATATATATTTGTGTAATGAACAAACAAATATATAAAGCAAACAATAGTTTTACAAAAAAAACTTTCTTTTTATTTAACCTCAGAGAAGCTGGATGTGCAATGCAACATTTAAAAAATCAGTTTTTGCAAGACTTTAACGTCTCTTTATCCTTCTTGTGGAACAGGTGCTTGGGGTGACCAGTAAAGAGTTTATTCCAAAGGGAAGCCGTTTTGGCCCTTTCGTTGGCAAAAGCTACACCAGTAAAACATTGCCTAAAGATGCAGACAGTCGCTACTTCTGGACGGTAAGTAAACTACATATGAGGGTTTGGATTTAGGTGCATTAATGTGAAATTCAAAAATGTACATTTCAGAACAGTTCACATCCTGCAGCTTCAGCCAGAGGTGTTTCTATAGCAGTGGCGTTGCACAGGTTTGCAGTTGTGGTCAAGGACCGGCATCCTGTAAAAGTTTGCTTGCCAAGACGCTGGTATTGCTTTAGATGGAGAATAACGTGTGTGTGTGCCACATATGCAAAACTGACTGACTGCCAGTATTCAACTTGGTTGTCTGAAGTCACACATACATAGGCACACACAGCTGTTTGGTTTCAATGACGCAGTGGTTCTTCTCTCTCTGCTTCTCTCAGCAGTGGTATCACTGCCAGTAAATACACCATACACATGTCCGCACTTCTCCAGATTCACACATTCTCACACTGACTAGGCAAGGAAGTGGCTTTTAGCCTGAGAACTGTGATGTTACAAATCAGCAGCACCCGAGCATATTCCATTACTCACACACACCACTGCAATTGAGCACCACAGGGTCGGTAACATTAACTAATGTCAGACTAATCAAATCTTTAAAAATTTTTAACAGAGGTTGCATGTTAGTAAGGAATCAATCAAGAGCACTGCTTCATAGCTTTAGACAGCAGAAAAACTTGAGATTTGGAAGGGCTATAAAGAATAACTTTTCTTCAACTGTGGGAGCTCATAGTGGAAGTAAGCAAGATATCATACTATAATCCAGTCATGCAGAAACTGTATTATTCAGTGTTGCTTTAAATGACTGACAACACCACAGCCAGTCCTAAGCTATGTATACAGCTGAACAAAAATACAATACTTACCATAAGACTGAGACGAGGAAAGTCTGACATCATGATTTCAGATCCAGTGCATCTTAAAGTGTTTCCGTTTCTTGATTACCAGAACTACCTTACATTTTTCATTGTTTTCTGTGCTAAAGGTTTTCTCAGATGGGCAAATTCATCACATCCTGGATAGTTTGAATGAGGAACAAAGCAACTGGATGCGCTATGTCAACCCAGCACGATCAGTAGAGGAGCAGAATCTAGTTGCCTGCCAGACTGGCCTGAACATCTTCTTTTACACAATTAAACCTCTTCAGCCAGGTCAGGAGCTACTGGTCTCGTACAGCCATGAATTTGCCCAGCGCTGTTACTATCCTCATCTTCAACAATTAGCTGCTGACAAAAATGGTAGGTGTTTGTATGGAATTAATATAGGAAGTCAGACAAAATTTAATTCCATGAAAGTCATTTGAAACCAAACCCCCACCTACGCTTTGACACATATCAGGGTTGGCCTGTCATAGCAAAGGGCTTGCTGTCAAACAGCTGACCAGCTGACAAGGTCTTTGTATGGGTGTTAAAAAAAGTTGCTCAGTCACACCCATGTTCCCTTTGTTAAAGCAGAACAAAAAAGGTGATAGAAGAGTCCTGAAAACAGAGAGGGGATTGTCTAAAGAGGCAGAGCCTAAGTAAAATGAGAACATTTTCAGGATTTTAAGTTCTTTTAGCCCTTATTTTGCATGTATACGTTTGCGCTCCCTCAGTAGTTGTGACTTGAGGTAGTGAAGTTATTCAGGCTTGACTTCCTCTATTTATTTAGCTCTTGAAAGAAGATACCTAAGAAGGTTACTTTGACTTCCTGACAAGGTGACCTGCTGAAAGATTGGTATCACACTCACTGTTAGCTGTTTGTTAAGAAGTGGAGTGGTAGGGTAAGAGGGGAGTAAACAAAAGATATGGCTTCCTCTGCTCTGTGTGGGTTAATGTTAACTGTGTCCAAAGTACGTTAAATGCAGAAACATACCCCTGTATTTTGTCCCTCTCTGTTTGCCACTTTGAGCACTTTGTCTGGTCTGTAGTTAGCCATAAAAGCACGACACTCAAGATTTCCTGGCTATTACTTGTTTACATGCTATACAGCAGTCGGGATGTTGTAAAGTTAACATAGATAATTCATGTACTTGCCTCTAATGACATTTTTCTATTGTCTATCTGTTTAACAGAGCAAATCCAGGCTCATGAGAGGACAAAAGGAAAACGAGGACACACTGTTTCTGAGATTCTCAGAGATGAACCTCTCAAACCTAAGTCTATCTGTCTCAGAAACCAGGACTGTCAGGTGTTTCAGACAGGTGTCTCAATTTTTCCCTCGTGTCCGAGCGTTGTATATCCAATACAGGCCAACTTGGAATCTGGATATAACTACGGATATCTCCCTTTGCCACCTTTGGCACCGTATGGCACTGCTACAGCCAAAAGGCCAGAGATAAGTAGTCCCTTTCCAACTGGTTTGCATATTGCCCTGCAACACACTCAAGATCCTGGCAAAACTGAACCTCACCAAGGACCATGTGTGCCGAGTGAGATTCTCTCCAATCTTAGACACAGTTCTTACCTAGTGCCACACTACTCACTGGGCCTTCTGCCACATACATTACCATTCTACAGTGAAAGACTAAAACCACACTTGACAAATTCATCAGATTTCATGCCTTTCAACAGCTATGCACACTTCCTACATCCTTCAGGTAGTGGATCCAAAGACTTATCACTTGCATCATCAAATTGCAAACAGGAACTCATTCTTTCACAAAGTAGTGAGCACAAAGGTAACAATGACCTCTACTCAAAAAAGGCAAACTACCTCAAGAAAACTTCCAGTGACCTCAGTGATGTCAAACACTCTGCTTGCACAAACGTCTACACAGACCTCAGTGTGTCTAGTAAGGCCAGCTCTTCTCCCGTTGACTTTAAACTCTGTAAAGAAAATCCTTTTGCACCTCGGGAATGTTCACCCCCTGTCGGTACTGCTGCCTCCTCAAACTACCTTCCTTCCAGACCTACCTCTGCCAATCAGGGCAATACTGAAGATGCACTGGATCTTAGACGGCAAAAGAAAGAAGGGTCAATCATTGGCTACAAGACCCTTTCTTACCCACTTAAAAGGCAAAATGGAAAAATTCGTTATGAATGCAACATCTGTGGAAAGGTCTTCGGGCAGCTGTCCAATCTCAAGGTAAGTACCCTTCATCTTCCTAGAAACATAATTGATTGACCAAAGTGTGTTTTGACCGAAGATACAATCTGAAACTATAAATATCGATCTCACCTACTTTTTTCAGGTTCATCTAAGAGTTCACAATGGGGAGCGTCCGTTTAAGTGTCAGACCTGTAACAAGAACTTTACTCAGCTGGCACACTTGCAAAAACATTACCTAGTTCACACAGGAGAGAAGCCTCATGAGTGCAAGGTAAGAGAATAACCTAGAAAGTATAAATTTTAAGTTCTGATTGATAGAGCTAAGGGTTTTTGCTATAATGCTAACTGACCAAGGACTACATTTACTAAAATTACAATGCTTTGTTTTCAGGTGTGCCATAAGCGATTTAGCAGCACTAGCAACCTTAAGACCCACCAACGGTTGCACTCAGGTGAGAGGCCTTACCAGTGCAAGCTCTGCCCAGCCCGATTTACTCAATATATCCACCTCAAACTTCACAAACGGTTGCACACAGGGGAAGGGACCCACCGATGTCCTCGCTGCCCCTCTACTTATCTTCACCACTGCAGCCTACAGGTCCACCTCCAAGGCTTCTGCCCCCTGTCCCCCTCAGCATCCCGTAGGCTGTCACCTGAGGAGCTACAACGAGTCAACTCTGAGATAGAGAGGTTCGACATGAGTGAGGCAGCAGAGCAGCTCGATGTTATGGCCACTGACACAGAAACAAACAAAGGGAATGTCATTGACCTCATACAAAAGATAGAAAATAACATCTTAAGCTTCCAGGATGCTGTCAAAGTGAAGACTGAGCTGAACATCGGCAACGGAGTGTACCAGTGCTCAGATGCGCTGTCTCAGTCACATAGTTTTATGACCGACAAGCGTGAAGCTGGAGCAAGGATGCATTTCAGAGAGTGACCTGCTATTCCAACCAAATAATCATTAGAACCCAGCTCAGCAGCTGTCTGTTACTGTTTGAAGTAAAGCCTTTTCTAAATCACACATTGCCTATTAAGTCTACAAAGATTTGAGTGCATGGCTAGTCTAAACATTGCCAAAATGACCAAATACTTCAGTGATTTATTTTCCTTATGTGTGTATAATTTATTATTTTACCAATTTGAAACTAATATGTATCAAAGTGGATACTTGCTATATTTTGTTGAATATTTTTAAACATTTGCATACAGTAATAAATTATTGCCTAAACCTACCTTCATTTGTGGCTTCACTGAGTAAGATTGAGTGTTCCTGTTTGTTCGCACATGCTGGTATTATTTGTTGCACGATTAAACTGAAAATGACTGTATAAGCATGACTCTGTATAGTTTAAGTGAGCTAAGTGCTGAAATGACGACACAGAGGAAACCTCAATTGTTCTTGCATGGTATACATGCTTGCATTTGTGTGAGTGTACTCGGCTGATGTGGGGAGTCAGACAGAGGTAAACATCCTGTTATGTGTCTCTGGATATTAACCAGTAAGTATCACCTCAGTAGTCTGAAAAAAAAAAAACTTGAATTTATATACCATAACTTTAACAATGAACAGATGTTTTACCCAAAAGATGGACTGTTAAACAACATTCATACCTTATACAATCTCTAAGCAGAGAGTCAGTCTTTCAGAATAAGTTAATTTAACCTACATTTCGAAATCTACATTATGCAATAGATTTCTGGAATATGTCCAAATTTATTAGCACTACAGTATAGTGTTGTGTAGTGTAAGTGTTTATTTTATATTGATATTGCCTTTATGTTCATTTCTGTTATATGCACCATTACTTATAAAGCTGTCAAATTAAGAAACGCATTAATGTACAGTATGTGTGCAAGAAAAAGTTTTAAAACTAGAATTGTGCTTTTGGGGCCAAGAAAGTGTAAACCAAAAACAATATAGAGAGGATTACTTCAAAAGGTCATAAGGCTTATTAAGTTATTTATGCTTGTTTTTAACACATAGTTGAAATGTCATGCATTTTAGGCATAGTTCAGAGATTTAAAGTTCAAAGAAGGCCGAGGTACTCCAAAAGCTTCCTATCAGCATTCTTTATCTTGTCCAAAACCAATTTTATTTATGCTTAAAATGATGCTTCTAGAATACACTACTGTGTGCTATCTATTTAACTAATATAGTCCTTGATTTTAGATTAATTTAATGAGTTCAGAGGCAAACGATTGTTTAATTATGGTTCATTTTTTGCCTTTACCACAGCTGGAAGCAAAATAGCTTCACGTTGATGATTGACATTTCATAATGACAGCTGGCATAGTACATGACTATATTTATAAATAGCAAGGGTTGGAAATACATTTGGCCACTCTCATAAATATATAGGAAAACATTATTTAGCAGAACAAGAAGCCTTCTCTTATTGTTTGTTATTGTTTGCAAATTTTTGTGTGAACTGTTGCTGCCTTAGATGGTGGGTCAATTAGGGACAACATGGGAACCACCACTGGTATGTGGCTAAAAGTGGTGTGACCTAGCCTAGTAAACTAGCCCCACCCGCCAGCGACCAAAATCATTTTTGCCTGCGAGTTGGTCTAGCCTTGATCAATGCCGCAGGCCCTAGAACTGGCGGGCCAATCACAAGGCAAAGATGTGTTTTGAATTTCTAGATGCAAAGTGGGCGGGGTTTTGAGGGCGTGACGACAAAGCTGCACGACGCTCAAGATAGCACAACAAGGAAGATGGCAACAACTATTGAACAGTTCTTGTTTGACTCAGCTTTGGAATCAGTTTTGGAAGGATTAGATTTGGGGTTTTCGTTGAAACATGAGCAGGAAGAGGCTCTACGCTCATTCATTTTTAAGAAGGACGTATTCGCCGTTTTACCCACAGGCTGTTTGCTTACTGTACACTCCACCGCCAGCTTTCTGTCGCACTTACTATGTCACGGTCAGTTGCGCTCATTGGTCAGAGGGTTGCTATTTTGCAAATACAACTATTCTCAGGACCATTGGTGTCAAAAGGACACACATTTGTTACTTAAGTAGAAGTATAAATATTGCAGTTTAAAAAACCTCTGGTAAAAGTTGAAGTATCAACTTGACCTCTTTACTTGAGTAAAAGTGAAAAAGTATGGGCATAGAAAAACACTCAAAGTATAAAAGTATAAAGTAACCTTTAAAAAAAAAACAGCCAGACGCCACTAAATGAATTTTAAAGCTTAATTTTTTTTAAACTATTTCGAAAAATTCTTTGAGATGGGCCAAGGATGAGGGAGGTCCTGTTGGTCTCCATCTCCCGATACACTCTCATTTCAGACATTTCAACATCTTTTTCTGAATCCGACATTGTAGCATGGCATAGACAATTGGCATTTGCAGCTTGATGAACAACTGCTTGTTTTTGATTATTTCATTTAGCTAACCAATGAGTGTCTGCATTATATGACTCATCCAATTACACTAGTTTTCGCTAGATGTGGATGGCGCCAATGATCTGCATTGGATGGCGCACATGACTTAAAATAAATATTAATAAACATTAAACCAAAGCCAAGAGTAACAAGTAACGCTTGTTTTAAAAATGTAGGGAATAGAAAGTACAGATACTTGTGTGACAATGTAATCAGAAGAAGTCAGAAGTAGGAAGTAATAAAATAAAATCTCTGCTGAGGAAAAATGTTCACAAATTTCCTCTTGCTGACTGATATCCCACATTGTCACAGACTATGAAGATATGATATATAGTTTATGATATACTTTTTTTCTCAGAATTCTGACTTTAATCTCAGAATTCTGACTTTAATCTCAGAATCTTGGATCTTAATGTAGATGGGCACTATGGAGGAAGAGATGTGGGAGCACTCAGCTTCACTGACAAAGATGTGAGTTGTTTGAGAGGGCCAGTAACACATTGGTGGAAAATGACGGAATTAGGTGACTTTTTACGTGCCCTATTTCATTTTAATACTATTTCATTAATGGATGAGCAGAAGGTGCTTAAAAACAAGAGAGCTATATCAGTCTTTAAAACAGACATGGCTACAGGTTTATGCTGACATGTTTGTTAGCTGTCAGAGTTAAGTCAGAATTCAGAGAAAAAAGTCAGAATTCTGAGATTAAAGTCAGAAATCTGAGATTAAAGTCGGAATTCCAAGCAAAAAGTCAGAATTCTGAAATTAAAATCAAAATTCTGACTTTTTTCTCATATTATACTGAGATAAAATTTAAAAATCAGTTAAGTTTAAAAAAAAAATTCAGTGGCCCTAATCCTCTTCCATATCTAATTGATGTAATGGGTTGGATTAATTAAACGATACAACGGCCTTCCATAAACACTGTATAGTTAGTCCTCCCAGTGGGTCGGTAACTGATGTCCCTTTAAAGCGGCCTTTGACGTCATGTATTTTGACAGTGGGTGGGAGGCAGCGGGAGAAGAAGAAGGGGAGCAGATGAACCCGGAGACAGGGATGTCCAGAATCATGTCCCCGGCTCTTTCTTGCTCCATAACCGTAACATGATACCCGCTGCTCCCGGAGCGCTTGCCCGAAGGATGCCGACCGCGGCCAGGCGGAGCGGCTGCTGGATAGCCTGGTGCCAGGCGGTGCTGCTCGGTGTGTCGGCGCTGGTTATCATAGCCGAGCGGAGCGCACGTAAGTGGGCAGCTAGCCTTGGATAGCGCTCTGTGTTGGGTTTTCTGTTTAAGTAACAAAAAAACCACAGTAATAATATTCATTTTTGGTGCGCCATGGTGGTTTCAGGTACATTCTTTTTGTGGGAAAAATGGCGTTCAGCTCCTGTCACGGAGCTTTGAATGCAGGTGGGAACACAATTAAAAGCTATAACGGCTGATACTAGCCTTAACAGAAAGCCTGGGCATTGTTTATCTCACTGGACACACGGTTAGACACTTAGGTTCACATACTCTTTCCACTCACAATAAATAACATCAGTAAAAAAATAATATTTTTATTATTAAAATGTATAGCAAATATATTATATACACATTAGACAGATTTAAGCTCTGATGCAGTTCTCATCCTACCTGTAATCTGTCAGCTCTCCCTGAAAACGGATCAATGAGCCAAGGTCAGGATACCAGAAATATGACTGGATCTGTACAAAGTGTGACTTAGTGTTCAGCAGGTATACCTTTCCATAAAGATTTCCATACTGCCATATTGCTCAGACTATTTTTTTTTCTTTTTGCAACACCCATTTATTAAAATAATTATTTAAAGTCAAAAACAGGAGTCAGATAGTATGATTATACTTTAGTAACATCGGTTTACCTGATATGCAAACAGCAATGCATCCTAACACGTCCAATTTAGTTCAATCATATAGACAGATTAAAACCCAGTTCCTGTCAAATTTATGCAACTTGAAAAAAAAAAGTTTTAAGTGCAGAAATCTTTTTGCTGAACAAGCATGCTTCATTCTTCTTGCATAATGTACCTTGCTTGACTCTGGCATTTTGTAATTTGCATTAACTCTTAAAATAATTGCACAATCCTGCATCCAGCTTGTCTTTCGTCTTTGTGCATGCATCAGTGATCTACTGTATTGGATTCTACCTTTGGAATGAGGAGACTCAATGGGCGGGCCTCACACTCGGCCTCTTCCTTCCTGGGACTGCTGTTCAGCTGCTAAGTGTGAAGTGGTACTATGATGATGGGGATGAACGGCGGTGCTATCTCTCTGTTATACACATA